CAATTGTGATGATCCCAAGGGAATCGAATTTTGAGGGTAAAATTTCAAAGGAATTCTGTGAATAATTTGAAAAGATTTTCCATGTATATCCCGAAACAATTTTTTACAGAATTTTAATGAAATTTCAAAGAAAAATCTTTTAAAAATTAAAAAGAGAGCTCCAAGATAATTCTGAAAATAAATTTCAAGATAATGCTGAGCTAAATTGCTTGAGAATTCTAAAGAGAATTCAAGTGAATTTTAAATATTATTATTGAAGGTAGCTTCCAAGAAAATCTAACGAAGAATTGCATGCTTTTTTATTGATCTGTGGGTAATTTCTAGACTGTTGTAAGTTCATTGTTAAGGGACTCCCAGAGATTATCTCAATCTTTTCTTTTTGAAGGGAAATGATAACAAAGGAAATGCTTGAACATATTCTCTTGAAATCCTGCTAGGGGTTTTGAATTAAATTTCAAAATAGTTAAGGTAAGGCTTTCTTCAGAACACTAAATAAAAGTACCTAAAAAACGGGACTTTGGACTTTACGTGCGTAAATGAAGCCTGATAGGAAAAAGCCTAGAAAAGGCGTAAAAACCCCATATCTTTTCGGAATACATGAATCACAATAATACAATATAATTAAAACGAACATTAATCAAGTCTATAGCATAAAAAAAGTTATCCTCCAATGGCATAGAGTTGTTCGTGAATCAGGTTGAAGTCCTCGTCCTTCTCAGGAGTCTGTATTGAATACGGTGACGACAGGTTTCCGCTGCACAGTTAAAGTCGAAAACCTCGTAAAACTCGTTTAAACGCCCAGACATGAACCGTATTGGGTCATGCAAGCTATAGTTCGCAGCACGAGGTCCAAGATGCAGGAAACTCTTCGACCGAAGAACTCGTTCGGGTGCGTAGATTTCGAATTCAGCCAAGATTCCTCGAGAGTCGATATCACAAATAAGTACTTTCGCTGCCAACACGGTCTGACTAATCGTCCGCCTATGTTCTAGTGTTTCAAGACCCAGGAGTTGACAACGATCTTCATACTGCGGAAGGTTCACAGAGTCATTCCAAGGAAGGTGACGAAAGGCATACCGAACAAATTTTCTTTGAACAGATTCAATCCTCGCTATCCAAACTGCTTGATACGGCCACCATAGTACCGAGCTGAATTTCAAGATCGATCGCACTAGAGAGCAGTCAGCGATCTTGAAAATGAACCCGAGTTACCTTTTTTGGTTTCCGAACGATGCCCGATTAATGAAGCTTGAATCTTAAGGCGCAGTCCAGCGTGATTCCTAGGTCACGAACATTGTCCACACGTTGCAGAAGTTGGTGATTTATCGTATAGTTGAATGCCACTGGTTTCAGCTTGCGATGAAATGAGATAATATTACATTTTTGTACATTCAACGTGAGATAGTTTCTTGACCACCACTCTTCGAAAGTATCGATTAGGTGCTGAAGCCGCAAGCAATCGGCGAAGCTACGAACAATCACATAGATCTTCACATCATCGGCGACCAGTTGGGAGCATAGCAATGGTCTCAAGTTGCTACCTTGAGGAAAACCGGAGCTGTTTGTAAAATAGTCCGATTGCTCCGATCCGATTCTAACACAAAGTTCCCGATTGGTCAGATAGGACTTGAACCAACGAGTTAAACCCGAGGATACACCGAGTTTTTCAAGTTTAGCTAGCAGTATGGAGTGGTCAACCCGGTCAAATGCAGCCTTAAGATCTGTATATACAACGTCCACATGCGCTCCAGCTTCCATACTCCGAAGACATAAAGAAATAAACGGAGCTAGATTTGTTGAAACTGATCTCTTGGGATAAAAACCGTGTTGGTCAAGAGAAATGTAATTTCTGCAGCTAGAGAATAATGCGTCGTTGATGATGATTTCGAAAACTTTAGAGCAGGCACTGAGTGATGTGATCCCTCGGTAATTTTCGACGTTTCTCTTGTCTCCTTTCTTGTAGATCGGGACATGAATGACGATTTCCAACGCTTAGGGAACTCCCCCTGCTGTAATGCAATATTGAACAGCTTCGAAAGCGGTGTTGTAAGCTCTGAACAGCATCGCTTCAGGATGCTTAAGGGGATCCCGTCAGGGCCAGCAGCATTAGAAAATTTCAGCTTCTTGATGGTGGATTCGACGAGGTCTACTGTAACCGAGGTAATCGAAAAATTGAAAGCATCACTGGGAGTGTCCCTCACCGCTTCAGCAACTTGGGACAACGAAGCCGTAGTGTCATTGAAAATGCTTTTGAAATGTTTTGCCAGAAGATTACATTTCTCAAGGGAATTGCCGGCGATTCTATCACCCAGGTGAATTTCGTCTGGTAGCCCCTCCTCGTTTCGTTTGGAATTCACGAATGACCAGAACTGCTTTGGATTAAGCCGTAAATTAGCCTGCCCACGCCTTGTGTAGCTCTTGTAAAGAATGCGGTTATATGTGCGATATTCGTTCTGAGTACGACAGTATTTACGGAGGGCCTTCGATCTCAGACGCTTCAAATTCCGTAGTCGAGCATTGGACCATGCGGGTTTTGGAGAGGGTCACCTCAATGGGACAGAATCATTTATTGCCCGGCCAACGACCTCAGCGAAGTAGTTGACGGCTTCATCAATAGATGAACACGTATCAAGGAACTGCCAATCTGCCTGGGCAAGCGAGTGACTCAGCGCGACGAAATCTGCTCTACAAAAGTCAAACTCATGTACGTCAACAGGGGGGGGGGGTTATCGTAGCCAATAGGAACAGATAGGTTGATGGAAACTTCCAACGCAGGATGATTGGTGTCGATGCCAATCAAAGGCTCTGGGGCTTCTAGGATAGAAGATTCCAGTCCTGCAGCTTCGTTTGCCAGAACGAGATCAAGCAGCCGAGAGTTGCTATTCAGTATCGAGTTGATTTGCGTTAAGCCATGCAGGTTGAAACCATCAAGGAGAGCATAGCAGGATGCGGACATGTTCGAGCGAAGAACATCAATGCTAGGAAGATCGTTTGCAGGAACGTTCCATGAGAGCCCAGACTGATTGTAGTCACCAAATACCAGAGCTAGGTCGTTTTGTTCTAGTCGAGAGAACACGGTAGCAATCGAACTGATGTGGTTTGCAATGCTGCTCGAATCAGATTTCCGGTCCGGAAGTAGATACATAGTTAATTGGCGTGAATATCTCGCGATCAGAACATTTTAGCTTCAAATCCCTGCTAATTTTTAGTACATCTTTTATCTACCGATTGAGTGAAAAAATGTCACTTAATATTGTTTTTTTTTAAGATCTCGTGCATTTTGTGAACGCTCATCCATCATTTTGCAAAAAAAGAGGTCTTTCTTTGGTGGTGTAAAGCACATAATGATGATGTTTGGTTGGGTCGACCTCTAAATTGGAAAACGTGATCATTATACCCCTTCTTCTGCCCTACTTCGCTGATATATAAACCAACATTATGTTCAAAATTGGAACGGTCTTCCGATAAGGAAAAAAAAAACTGCCTGTTGCGTTATCATAAAATGCAAGGTTCACTATCTTCTTTACTTTAGAGACCTAATTCAAATCTAATGATGGAGCTACTGAAAAAAAAATAAAGCCAACGTATTTTTTGCGAATTAATTTATCTCATAACATTCATGGCAGAGAGGTTTACAAGTTCAGGTTGACAACCCTCCTGAAATCAAAAATTAAGGTGAGGAACTGCTTTGTATTTCGTTATTAATCTTTGCAATTTAGGAACCAAATGTAATAGACTATGTATTTACATTCTTGTGAGGTCCTTTCCTTTATCCAATCATAAGCAGTTCTTTCGAGTTTTACTGAATTTGTTTAGTTTTGTGTACTTTGTTTGGGAAATTGTCAGCCCGAGATTGGTTCATCTCCGGGTAGGACTGGTTTTATGATTTGTGTCATCACAATCATTTTCCTTTTTTCAATAACCACTCGTTCTTTTCTCACACCAGTCGATCAGTCTATGTTATTATGTGGTATTAAATAAATTTTATACATGGATCCACTGAATTATCGTTAACTAGCTTTCTCGCGTACTGTCTCCTGGATCCTTACGAAGCAACGTCATTTAAGTATGTCAGTCGTTTAACATTGACAACATCTTCAGAATAAACAAGTTTAATCATCTGGTTTCTGACATGAAATATCAATTCTGCACACCAAATTATTATTGCTGAAATTTCTGAATAATATGGATCACCAATAACAGCAATGTTGGTTTACTGTATATGGTAGGACTAAAAAAAAATTACATTTGACAGCATTTTGCCCGAAAAACATCTGCATCGCGTTATTTCCACAATTAGCTTGCTTCTTGGTGACAAAAATTCTTAATAAAAACCATTAAACAACGGACACTCTTCAAGACATTACTCACTCTCATTACTATGATTTTCCCCGCTTAGTGTGTGCTCTGAAGTGTTTACCCAAAAACTTGTATACTCGCTCGCATATCATTGTTCACATCAGTGGAAACAATCAACTAGAACAACGACTATCGCAAATCTGAATTTCCTTCAAACTCAAACACTTTTCCTTAATCCATTCACTGGAGTAGAAGCAACCTAGCTTCCATCGCCCTCCGTTTCTCCTGTTCCGATCGCTTAATCCGCACTCGCAGCATAAATACTAAAAGCACACTTTCCAAATTGAATTTGATTAGCTCCAAACTACGATTATCCACCCCTTGATCAGGGATGTTCAAATTTGTTCGATTGATGATATCTTCAATGGCCCTTAAAATATGTCGTTGGTGATCCACGATGGTCCATCCCTGAATTAGTCTGTGAAAGGATCATAAAACTTGCCGATAGAATCAATTCCATCGCATCCCCAGTTCGAGCAAACCACACAAGCCAAACATTATTCCTCCAGAAAGGTTCGATCCAGCCAGAAGCCCCAATTTTGCCTTTCGAAAGTGAAATACTATTCCCGAACTTGCTCCCTATTACTGTAATCTATATACTATTTTTCTGACTGGTTTTTTCTCTCTCTTCCCTTTCCCAGGTACCATCGGCATTTTATTCGACAGTGGGTGGCTGGCCCATATAAATTGAATCACACACACACACACACCAACAGGGTACAGGTTCGACACCGCAGGAAGCAGGAAAGCAAAGGGGAACATAAATTAGAGAGACCGATAAATTTAACTCCCCCTGCCGCGCGCTCCTGGTCTCCTTCCTGGACAAACGAATTGTGAATGTGGTTTCTGAACTGAAAGAGTTGTGCAAGGTTGTAGGACCCGAAGGAAAAAAAAATCCATTAAAAGAAATAACGAAAGCAAGTACCGACTACTATCGCTTGCGAGGTGGAGTGTTTACCGAAAATAAATATTTTCAATTGGTGGACGACGACGACGACGGAGAAGCAAACGAGCATTGTTGGAGGTAGTGAAGTGGTGAAGAGGTGAGTCCGGGATCGAAGTTTAGCGAAATACGTGAAAGCGGGAGTGTTTATCTCGATTTGGGAAGAGAGGAAAAGTTTTTCTTTTTTTTTTGAGTGAAAAAGGTGCAATCTTGAGAGAAAAAAAAAGTTACAGAGAAAGAAATAAAAGTAAGTGAAAGCGAGGGAGGAAGGAGGGTCCAATTTTCTTTTTGTGACAAATGTGTCATTGTGACCCATTTCAAGATTCAATTTGTTTCGATTTGAATAAAAGTGTACGGAACAGGTGAAGCGGCGTTGGTGGGATTTTTTTTTTTTTTTTCATCGGAGTGGATTGTGGCGAGGAAGCGAGACGAACCTAGCCAAGCGAAGAACGGACGGGAAAGGTTGCTGAAGAAAAAGGTAAGCAGGGATAGAGTCATTCCATTTTCCAAATCGACGAATTAAAGGCCTCTTTGTTTCCGGGATTGTTGAAAAAATGCAAATCATTATGGGTAATAGAGGCGAGCTGGAAAAACTGTTGCTGCCCAGATTACTTCTTAATGAAGACAATACAAAAGATTGGTATTTTTTTCCAGGCTGTTTCTGTAATTCCTTTTTTACAAAGTAGAGCAGGGAAGTTTATTTAGCTTTATTTTTAAGCCGGAATCAAATTATTTAATTTATCAAATATTAAATCAAACAAGTCAACGATTTGAGACGATCCTCGATTGATCTAATGATGTTCAAACGCACCACACTCTAGTCGAATTGATGCTCGATTGCATCATGTGTGAAGTGTTGAGACCAAATTGACGAATGGTTGATCGATTGATGGTTTCAATTAACGAGAGCGGATTCAAAGTCTCACAAACATCGAATACATTTTAAAGGTGAAATTAGACATGAGCTAGCACACGTGAAACCGAATGGGATTTGCTGCGGTAGTCTATCGCATACCGCTCTGGATTCACCTTAAATGGTTGAAATGGTTGAACTGAGTTTCAACAACAAGTCCATCAACCAGGATATTTCCATATTTCTTAGTTAGGGACTTCTTCACTAAGAAACAGTTTCTAAAAACTAATGTTCACTAACGTTCGCAACTTATTATTCACTTAGCAGAACGCGGTTCCCTTATATAGAAAAAAAAGTGCTTACCTTTCAATATTACCCTACCCGCTACCCATTGGCGCTTTCCATGGCGCGATGCCCCTGGATTTTGTTCCAATTGGCTAATCCACCTAACTATGCCATATTAGATGTTTCTGAAACAGCCTTGTTCCGTCTAAGAATGTTTGTTTCTCGGGTCAGTTGGTGGATGGTATATCAACCTTTTTGAAAACCAAACTGCTCCTCGAGTAAGATGTTGTTTTCTTCGGCAGATGTTAGAAGCCGGCTGTAAACTGTTTTTTCGAAAAGCTTGGATAACCCTGAGAGAAGGCTGATGGGTCGGTAACTTGAAGGAGAGGAAGAATCCTTCCCAGGTTTCCAAATGCGGATGACTTTAGCTAACTTCCAGCACGAGAGGAAGTAGCCAAGTCGGAGGCACTGATGGAAAATCAGTGCCAGATGGTTGTAGAATCTGGAACTCAAGTGCTTGAGCTACAGATTCAGGATGTTGTCGAAACCTGGGGCCTTCATGTTATTGGAAGTTTTGATATTCCGTATGCGTGATAATGTTTGCACCATTGCCACCAATGTTTGCATCAAAATTTAAAAAAATTCTCAAAAATTTCGTTTTCGAGTTTTTTTATTTATTCAAAGGGGGAGTCTCAGATTTTCAGAGTCTTAAACTATGTTAATCTTTGATCGAGTTACCACTTGCTACAATTACGGATGCCACACGCATCCGGCAGGCACGGCAGGTTCTAATAATGTAGTCTGGATCCATTGCTCTCCAGGTACGGGTCAATGTTTTTCTGAGGCTTGCTGTACTCGGGTGGCGTTTAGAACAGGCCTTGGCCTTCATGACGCGCTATATTAAGTAATCCAGCGGATTAAGATTGGGGCTGGATGGCGGCCACATATCCTTCGCCCAGAACGGAAGATGTTCCTGCAACCACTTCTGAGTGCGGTTCGAGGTGTGGCACGGAGCCCCATCTTGTTGAAATACAACATTTGGCTTCGGACCGTACTGTTCTTTGATCCACGGAAGAACATACTTACTTAAAATCCCGATATAGACCTCCGTGTTGACCTTGTCGCCTTCCTGAATGAACACCGGGTCCATTTTTTTGACATCGGAAGCCACCAATCCAAACACCGTAACGCTAGCAGGTTGCTTGGTCAGATACACGTTCTTGTGCTCGTCGGCCACGTCTTTTACCGGAAGAGAAATAATATACCGGTAGATTCTGGAATGTGATATGGGATCGACGGTAAACATGCTCTCGTCGGTGAACAAGATTACCGGATTTATTCGCTTAAGGAAGTTCAAGATTTTCTTGCATCGTTCGAATCGTAGCTCCCGGATGCGGTTGGTAATCATGTGATCCCGTATTCCTTTGCCATTTTCTTTATTGAACGCACTGGATTCACCCGAATCTTCCTTTTGATAGCAGCGATAACCCTCTGAACCCGGGCTGACCTCGGACGACCTGTGGCCACCATCGGGGATAGTTGTCTTTACTTTTCTCAGTCTAAAACCCTTTTGGTAGTCCACCGGGACACTCCCACGCAGCGTTGCCAGTATTCCAGATTTATCTGGATTTTCCAGATTTTCGGTCATCCGGCCAGATACACAGACAGATCACGTATATTTCCAGATTTTTAAAATATGTTCCAGATTTTCCCAGATTTTTCAAACATGTTGCTTTAAAAATATCATTGCAATTGATCTACACTCTAATAAATAAATAAAAAAAAACTGCTTCTTAAATTATTAAAGGCCATCAACGTTGGAAATTATTACAACATCGTACCTTACATGGAATACATGGAATTGTTACAACATGTTTGCATGTTAATGGGTTGCAGAATCATGAAAATGGAGCCATTTTCTAAAAATTATACGCTGAAAAAAAATTTCAGACTTTGAAAAATAGTGGGCCTGAATGTTTTTTTAATTGGAATTTTTATTTATTTTCTATATTTCTAAAAAAAATCAAAATTTCAATATGGAGGAATTTTAATAATTTTTCAATTTAGAGAAATCGAAAACTGTTCCGGATTGAAAACAATAAATTCTGCCTTGAAAAATTAGCAAGGCTTTTGAATCTTGAAAACCCCCAGGACTTTGAAGTATGTTGGTGAGATTTTTGAGGATAATTCATAAGGAAAATTTGAAAGGCATCGGATATTTTTTAGCATTTTTTTAAGTACCTGTGAATATTGAATTGTCCTAGAATTTCATATTTTTAACTTTTTGTTGAAAATAGTTTACAGTGAAGTGTGAGGCAAATTTTTTGCGAAACCAAAGGAGAATTTCAAGTTAATTCTGAGTAGAGTTCCATCCATCCTTGTAAGTTTCGTGGTCATGCGGTGTCACCCGTCTTTCAGGCGTATTGTGAGTGCCACAAAGTGAAGGTTCGATTCCCGCTTCAGCCAGTGGAACTTTTCGCAACCTGAAAATTTCCCTACTGGTCTACTGGGTGCGGTATGTGGTCAGTTTTCTAGTGTAAAGTTTTCAGTCTGTGCAATCTCTGGTTGAAGACAGTGTCAGTTGTCTTTTAAAAACTCTGGTGACAATCGCATAGAGATTTTGTGAAGAATGGAAATAGAATTCGGAAGTGAAATCAAATAAAGTTCTTATGATGAAACTTGAGGGGTATGCTGATACGAATGGTAAGAATAATTTCAATTGAATTCTGTTCAATGTTTCTATAGAGATTCCTTTTTTATTAAAATTTTAAGAAATTCGGCATTATGCGAAAAAACATCTGGGAATTTCTGGGACACTTTCAATGCCATTTTGGCAAAGTATTTGAGTACTCAGCAAATACTGAAAAGGATTTCATAAACAATTCTGACCTTACCTACAAAGCAGCTCAAAGGAAATTATCGGATGAGTCTGAGAATAGTGTGACGGTCATTCTGAAGAGTGTGCCAAGGAAATTATTAAGAATATTCTAATGGAATTTCATAGAGAAAGATGAAAACAAAATTATGCCAACTCTTGGAAATTATTGCTACTTTGAGGGAGTTGGGGAATCGGAGAGTGATTTATAAAGATAACAAGAGAACTCTTAAAATGTTACTGAAAATGTTTGGAAATTATCAAGATTATTTTAGGGGAATCCAGAAAAGAAGTATGACGGAATTCTAGGATGATTCAAATAGAAATCTGAAAAAAGGACGAAGATATCCTGTAAAGAGTTCCATGTAAATTCAGACTAACAAAAAGTTTCATGATCTGGGACCCAGGAAATATACAAATTCCGCTTTCAGACTTTCATTTTAGTTATATAATTAAATTATTCGTAATGGTAATGCAAACAGTTGAGTTACCTGTAGTTTAGGTAAACTGTGTGTGAATACCACTATGCTAGGCTTTGGTTTCCACTTCAGCCTGGTGAATTTTACTTTAAAATAAAATTGCCTACTGCCTACTATGATGTAAAGAATTACATTGTAAGTCTGATCAACCTCAGGGTAATATAAGAATTATTTAGATCTATTAAAATCTTAGTTTAAAAAATCCATCCCATCCCAAAAGTAACAGTTTAAAAAGCAATTCCAAAAATATTTTATCAACGATTTAACTCAATTTTTGAAATGCTGCGTAATGGACATTCAAACTTTATGGGCACACTGTGTCAATACTTTTCTTAACTTTTGGACGATTTAAGCAGCTAACAAGTTATTTGTTTTATATAATTTATTTAAACATGTAATTCATAACCATTCTGGTACTTTGAATAAATTCCAGATGATCATACTGGCCGATTTTTACGGGAGATTGGCACATCACTTTTATAGCATTATGTTAAAAACAAGATTTTTTGGATCCTTCCAGATTTTTCCAGATTTTATATTTTAACTGGTCCAGATTTTTATGAAAATGACCTGGCAACGCTGCTCCCACGGCGATTTAAATGACTTTTTGCGACATTTGCGCGTGGGACAAATCACGCCACTTCGTCATGGTGCAACTGTCAAACTAAGTAAATCATTTTCTTTTATC